CAGCAATAAACATGGGGGTGCAGGTATCTTTTTCAATCAGTGTTTTTGTGTCTTTTGGGTAGATACCTAGGAGTGGGGTTGCTGAGTCATAGGGAAGCTCCATGGTAAGCAATACTGCTGTATTTTTAGTTGGCAATAAGGTAGCAGACACATTAGACACACTCACATCACATTTTCCCAAGATGGATTATCACGTTCATGAATAAAAAGAATTGCTTCATTTTTTTTTAATGTTACTATTATCGATAAATTAGACTTGACTGACCATGTATTTGTCTCTGTTGTTAGTAACCTTGTTTCTGGAGTTTTGGAAACGGCGCCAGGCAGAGCTGGAGTACGAGTGGGACACAGTCGAGCTACAGCAGGAAGAACAGCCCCGACCAGAGTATGAGGCGAAGTGCACGCACGTGGTCATCAACGAGATCACGCAGGTGAGCGCATCGTACAGTTCAGTATGGCTAGTGCGCTGGTTACTGGCCTTAGGTGCGAAGATTCCCCAGCGACAGAGTGGGGCGCAGAACAGGCAGATCAACTGAAATCCACTGCTGAGGAGAGCAGCAGGGAGACAGGAGAGGTCTGCTGTGCCATGTGGGTCACTCCCTGGCTGGGGAGGGAACTCAGGTTACAGTGGTGAGAGCACTAAGACTTAACCCCTAGGCCAACGGGGAGGCGGACTTAATTACTGTTGCCTGGGACCCTTCATTACATCCTTTGATGATTCTCAGTGAATGGCCTAGGTTATGTTTTTGTCACAGAACAGTGGACTTGGGAGACAAATTATGGTCTCCTCTTCATGGCAGCAGTAAAAATAAAAGCCAAATCAGACTGACATATCTATAGAAGAAAAGATGCATTTTTTCTGATAAAACCAGTATATAGGTGGGAAATAAGGCTATGGAAAGACATGCCGGTTGTGGTTTTTTTTTATATATAATTGTTTATTTTTACATCATTTTAGCCTTTTTCCATCTCAGTTGTAATCCCCGTGGGCTTCCCATCACCAAATAACCCATGTGCCATCACCGTAGTCCTGTGCACCCCTCACCCCCATTTTTGATCCCATTCCCCACTCCACCTCCATAAAGTGTCTCTGGTATATAGTTACTATTATTCCCCCACCCTCACCCCCACCCCCAGTCCTTTATGCTTCTGCTATGAGTAGAACTATCCGGTATCTATCTTCTTCTTTCTGGCGTATTTCATTCAGCATACGACGCATGAGTTTTTAAGTTAACTCAATTTTCCGCAGGTAGAATGGCTCTGTCAGCCCCTCATCCTGGACTGGCTGCTCCTTTGTCTCCACTAGCCTGAGTCACGGCTCCCCCTTCTGGCGGGGATGCACAAAAGAGTGTGACTCTTACTTTCAAGTCACAGTGGGATGGAGAAAGGGGGGAAACATTTGTTGAGGTCCAGTTATGTTGAGGCACCGTGCTAAGCATTTTATAGAATTGGAAAGGTAAATTTGCTGCTGTAGTTACTGCTGCAATGATGGAAAAAAAAAAACTGTGTATAAATATTCAAAGCCAATGAAAGATGATTTCTGAATCATCTGCCTTATTGCTCCTTCCATCGACACAGGAAATTTAGAGCTGATTGTATTGGCAGTCATCAGCATAAAGACAGTGGGTTCGGAATACAAATCTCTCTTGGAGAGAAAATGCTTTCACCATGAGCATCTGCAAATGTCCCCAACTATAGATTTTATAAATTAAATCACAGATTTACAGAATGTCAACGCTGAAATGAACTGGAGGGAGCCGTACAACCTCCTCATTTTTAAAATGGAAAAAAAATGAAGTTCAGTTATCAACAGAAGGTGACATTTGTCTTTTACCAAGTAACAAGCTGTAAATAATTCCCATAATGAATAGATCCTAACACGATTCCAGAAGACAGAGTCAAAGCGTGTGTTGAAAAGATGATCAGAAATGAAGGCTGAAACTTTGACAAAAAAGGTATTAACAAGGACTTTTGCTACCAAAATATATATATATATCATATTGGCAACACTAGAAAAATACTAAAGAAAAAAAAGAGAGACAATTTGGCAATTAAAACCTGCCAGTTTTAAATTGAAAATTGCCAAGTGATACCCATCCATTGAAATGTTGCTTGTTATAAAATTTAACATGAATATTCATTTGTTTTACCTTTCTTTCTCATTTTATTTTTGTTACTCTGGTATGGCAGTGAAGTCAGAATGAGAGCTTGCCTGAGTTCAAATCTGAACACAGTCATTTACTAACTGAATTGTCTTAAGCAAATAATGTCATTTCTCTGTAATACTGTTTCCTCAACTGTAAGGGAGCAGAACTGAGTTGCTTCCTCCCATGAGTATGGCAAAGGTTAATATACTTAATGTGTAAAGCCCATTTAGAATAGTACCTGGGGGCAGCAGGTGGGGGCATCCCTGTAGCCTGGGGTGACTTCCCAGTGATATCACCGCCAAGACCTGAGTTCATTCCCTGGCCAGGGAGCTGACCCACATAGGGTGCAGCAGACCTCTCCTGTCTTGTCCCCTGCTCCCCTCAGCAGTGGATTTCAGTAGATCTGCCTTTGTGCTTCCCACTCTGTCTTTGGGGAATCCTCTCAGCCCACGCACCTCTGGTGAGCACTCCAGTTCTTCTACACACAAAAAAATAAATAACAAAGAAGAGTACTTGGCACAGAGTAAAGGAAATTTGTAAGTATTTGTAGCAATTATTACATAATAGCTGTTCTTATAATCCGATAAATCTCGAGAAGTATTGATTCTCTTTTGAAAAATATAAATAGATAACCTATAAAAGGAAGAGTCTAAAAATAAATAGTTATACCAAATTAACACACAATATAAAACTCAGCCAAAAGCCACATCCTGGAGACCTGGTATTTGCAGATGTCTGCAAAACTGCTGTTTTTGTAGATCACTCCTAAAATGTAAGACAAACTCAGGAATGTCTCATTACAGCTCCACATTTTCAGATACCAAATTCCTGAGCTGTTTCTATCAGGTAAAGAGTTTATGTCTCATACTTACTGCTCCAGAAAATACTATATAGTAAACCCTGAATGTTCTGTTGTGTGTATGTTTGGACTTGTTAACAGAAGAATATGCAGTTAAGAGTAAGACCATATTTGGAAACAAATTTCTAAAAAATTCACTGTTATGACTGACTAGAAGAAAAATATAATTTCATTGGAATATTCCCTTGATTGGCTTAATTTTTTTTTTTTTTTTTTTAGGAAGAAGAACGTATTCCTTTTTCTACGTGGGGAAAATGTATACGGATAACACTATGTGCAAGTGCTGTCTTTTTCTGGGTAAGAGTTGACCGTACATTTCTACTACTTAATTTTAAATGTAAAGGAAACTAAAAGTTGAGCCTGGAAATTACAGTCTCACAGGGAGAACTATGAGCCAACACATGGCACTGCCCTTGAGGTGTCGAAGTATCCATTCACAGTGCTTCTCCTGGTTCCTTCCCACACATTTACTTAAATCAGATGAGTAGTTCAGAATTTTTCAGATTTTGTGAAGAGACCAAATGGGAGATATTACAAATTCTAAAATATTTCAGTAGCAACCACTAAAGCAATATGTCTAGAAATAGCTCTAGCAAAAAAAGTTAACAAGAAATATGAAAACTTTATAAGAAGCACTGCAAAGATACAAACTAAACTGTAAACAAATAATTCAATATAAAATAAAAATACTTCAATAATAGGTGCCTCCCTGGTGGTGCTGGGTAATCACAGCACAGTGAAGCCATCAGCAGCCACCACAGCACGGATTTGATCCCCAGCTAGGCTGCTGACCCACATGGCACAGCAGATCTCTCTTCTCTCCCTGCTGTTTGCCTCAGCTGTGGATTTCAGTTGAACTGCCTGTTCTGCTCCCCACTCTGTCTCTGATGAGTCTTCTCACTGCCACCCCCCAATCTTTGACCTATACCCCAGTTCTTATATCCATAAGTAAATAAAATAAATCTTTTTTTGAAAAAGAAAATATTTCCACAGTGAAAAATTTTATTCATTATTGGTCAAATCATATTAGTAGTATAATTCAGTCAAAAGTATAATTGTCAAGAGACTTGCATTGGTTCAAAAGTAACCCAAAGAGAATAGGCGATGAAGCTCAGATTTGATTTGGGTCCTAATAGCAGTAATAATTTAATATATAACAAAATGGGTTATTCATTAATAGTAACAGATCACTTGATAGTATTTAAGTAAACAAATGAAAACTATACTATGAACCATTTACCTGTAATAGGTTCCAGAAAAATGTAATACCATGAAAGAAATTAGAAATATTGATAAATATGATCTCTTGAGGTAAAAAAATTTTTAGAACTTAAAGCAACACAAGTTTCAGAGGAAGATACTTAGAGCAAAAAGCATTCTAAGTTTAATTAATTAAAACTATAGAAGAAATACTTGTTAGCAAATAGAGTATAATAAAGTATTCTTTACTACACAAAGAATACAGATCACTTCTAAAATTTACTAGTCATTAAAGCATTGCACATGAAAATTAGTTATATAGGATTTATACCTCTCAGTTGATGAGGCTCAAATGTAAAGATGAAATGCAGTAATCATCTCTTCATAGTTGGGTTTTAGAATTTTACCCTTATCTTCAGTCTTCTTGGAAAGCACTTTGGCAATATGTCTCAAAAATATTCAGATGATGCTCTAAAAACTAATTAAACCTTTAAAAACTTTCATCAGAAAGTATTTTATAATGGGCAGTGATAGCCACTGAAGATTAAATTACAAACAGTTATTATATATGTATATTTTGCATATATGTATTCTTATAACATATATGTCATATATTCTCTGTTTATATATATCAGCCAAATATCCTATTTGTAACCATTCATGCAGTGGAATATAATACAGCCATGAAAAAGATGTCCTTGGGAAAATTTTGTGGCATGAAAATATTATGGTCATTATAGGCTATAGGAAAGAATAAAATTAATGTGAAGAATCATTTCACTGTGTAAAACATTTTAGCATTCTGTGGGAATGTGCCTTTACATAGCTAACACGTTTTTTCTCTGCAATTCTTTATGGTTGGGTTCCTTTCAGGTTTTGGTGACAGAAAATCAATTTCCAGTTGTTTAAACAACAATAATGGTGAGAGTGATGGATTGGTTTCTGTAATGGAAAGTCCCAGATCTGAGGGTTGCTTCAGTCAAGGTCTCTATTACTGGAGGAAGCTGCCCTTTACAGGCATTGCTTGATGCCACCTCACCTATCAGTGACTCTTACTAGGTCTTTTGTCAATCTTTGATTTGGTCGCTCAGACCCAGGGTCTGAAGTCCCTATTTGTCTCAAACCAGTCAGGAGCTACTTCTGCAGCATAGGAAGGCTCAGAACAACCCATATTATGAGCCTGAAATTGGAGAAGTTATTGCCCACAAAGCAAACTATAGTTCCTCTTCTTGGACTGGAAACAGATCCAGATAGCAACGCAACCAGCATCTATTACAGGGTGTTCTCAGATTGTCTGCAGTCAGTACATAATCAAGTTATGATCAGAGAAGTATATTAAACTAATCAGAAAAGATAAGAAATTTAAGGAAGCAAAATGATGCTTCCCTGCTTCCTGTGAATATTGAATGAACCAAGTGCCCTGAAGTCTGAAAACAGACAAAGTATATAAAGGCTTTGGAGGGACTAGAATTCATTTCATGGACCATGTGGGAGGCGGTATAGGAAGAAGTTAGCATGTCTTTGGGCTCTAAGTTTATATCAGGTCTTTCACTTACTATTGGGTTGTCAGAAAAGTCTTGACGCATTTTTGCTTGAGAACAGAAAAAAAATATGTCGTGACTTTTCCGACAACCCAATAGTTGCTTAATTTGAGGGCAAACTATTCATCTCTTTGTGCCTCAGTTTACTACTCCATAAAAAAGACAGAACTCTACCTACTTCATAGGGCGTTATGACAATTTTGTTTTCTGAGGAAAATAGTGTTTACAGAATCTTAACCTAGTACTTAATAATTTACAAATTATTATGGTGCTGACCTTTTAAATTTTCTGAAGATGCATATATTGTTCCAATTCAAGTAACATATATAAATGTTGAGCTGAAAGAGAAAGGCTCGATATATCTTCTCTAATACATTTTCTCAGCCTTGGCTAATTTTCACAGATACTTACACACACACAAATGGTATTTCTTTCACAAGTACAAACTTTAACTGTGAAGGAGCTAATGAGAGAGATTACAGGAAGAAATAGAAGGCCTTCTCATAAACTTAAAAAGTAAGAAAAACATCTTCTTAATACACTGCCCTCATAGCTAATGTTTACCAAATGCCTTCTTTCCATGGGCCTGTGTCAATGACTGAAGGGCTTTACGTGTAGCAACTCCATGAATCCTAACACAGCCCTATAAATTAGTAGCTTTTTTTTTTAAGATTTATTTATTTATGCATGCATGCAGAACTGGGGTACAGGCCAGAGATGTGGGGCAGTGAAAGGATTCACCAGACACAGAGTGGGGAGCAGAACAGGCAGATCAATGAAGTACACTGCAGAGGGGAACAGTGGGCGGGTCAGGAGGGGTCTGCTGCCCCATGTGGGTCATCTCTAGAGTGGGGATCAAATTCATGCTGAAGTGAAAGTGGCTTTAGCTTTTTAATGTTGTGCTTAGTGCTGTGCCACCAGGGAGGGCCCTAGTAGCTATTTTTAAGTAGATTTTCATTGAGATGACATTGGTGTAATATTATGTGAGTTTCTAGTACACAGCATTGTAATTCTGTAAAAAGAACCATCACCAGGACAGAGTGTGGGAGAAGAGACTTTCAAATCAAGAATCTGACAGAAGTCAGCCCCTCTTATTGTCCCCTTCCCCCACCCCCTTATGTGGGTGAGGAAATCGAAGCCCTCAAGAGGTTAAGTAATTTGTACCTGCTTCCCTGTTAGTGCCCAAGGTGGGATTCAAATTCAGGAGTCTGGTTTCAGGCCCAGGCTTGTCATCACTGCCTTCCCTGCTCTCCCCAGGTGAAAACCAGCCTCCCTCTGTTTCTGCAAAACTTTACACAGCCTAATTTGCTAGGTTCTGAAATTCGCCTTTCCATAGCTTTTCTCTCTCGTGGTAGTCATCCTGAGCAGTCAGGCCCACCAAGGCCAAGACTGGAACCTGTCCAAGAAAGCAGATATTGGAGAAACAGCTTGAAAATGCTGCTCTTCCTGGGCATCGTTGAGTGTCCAGGGAAAACCCGCCTGGTGATAAGTGAAACCCTAGTTTGTGCACACTAGGCTTCAGGCCTCTGTGGACAGGGTTTATATAGTCAGAAATGCAGTGGCTTAGTGAGTGAGTCTCAGGCAAATGCCGGCATGCTTGATGACCAGTTTAAGATTTTAAGATCCAAGCATGAAAAGTGTGGAAAGCTTTCATTGGCAGGGACCTTTGTCACTTCTAACAGTTAGTTGGGGGCCTCACTGCAGCTTCTCTCATCCTGTCCAGGGATTATGGCCTGCTATGCGAGCTGAGACAAAAGCTAGCACATGCTTTTCAGGGATTATAGCCAAGCCAAAGAATCACATTCACGACCTCAAAAATGCTCTTGTTATAGAAGGGGTGTTTTATTCCTTACGTTGTTGTTCATTTTTTCAACAGTATTTGATTTCTCCCTTCAGGAGTACTCCCCATAGTTCTCCCACCACCAGAGCACCAGTGACCATCAATCACCACAGTCCCTGTGCCCCCTTGTTTGGGCCCTTACCCCGCCCCCCACCCCCCTTGCTGGATACCACAGATGAATGGTTTCCTTGCAATTTTTGTCTTTTTCCTGACCCATGGTTCAATTTTCCTATATCCCTCCTATAACTGAAACGGTTGGGTATTTTTCTTTTTCCTTCTTACTTACTTAGCTGAGCAACATCCAGAAGGGGTATTTTCATCAGTTCTGTTGTCATAGAGAATTTTTCCTTCTCATTGAACCTGTTACCAGTTACCCCATTTTTACCCTGTGTGAAGATAGGCTTCCTGTCCCTAACAGAACTTCTTTCCCGCAGCAGTTTCAGCTTCCCAGTGAACTTCTACAGCGAGCCTGGGGCCCCCGCGTCTCCTTGCTCCCTGCAGGTGCCGTCCCTGCTGTTAACATCTCATTTAGTGGCTGCACCCCCTTGGTGACCCTCCATCCCTTTTCTTTCTCTGAGATGCAGCCTGCCCAGTTTCCACCTCTCTTATGGGAGATTCACACCTTTCACACATGCATCTTGTTCATTTCATCCCAGGGCCAAATTCTGTTTTGTTTTATTTTTTGGAGAGGAACTGGGGTGCAGGCCAGAAGTGCAGGGATGAGAGGATTCACCAGGGACAGAGTGGGGCAAAGAGGTGGATTGACTGAAATCCACTGCTGATGGGGAGCAGCAGGCAAGACAGGCGCAGTCTGCTGCGCTATGTAGGTGAGCTCCCTGGCACAGCAGTGATAGTGCTGAGACTCAGTGCTAGGCCACAGGGAGGCCTTTCCCCTGCGGACAACTTTTCACTATAAAAGTGTGGGTCAGGCTAGGACGCAGCACTGCAGTCTGGCTGTAGCCACTTCAGTGTGTGTGCAATCCTGGCCCCGGGAGGTGACCCACATGGCGCGGCAGACCTCTCCTGACCCGCCTGCTGCTCCCCTCAGCTGTGTACTTCATCAGTCGGTCTGTTCTGCTCCCTGCTCTGTCTCTGGTGGATTCACTGCCACTGCACCTCTGGCCTGTACCCCAGTTCTGCAAGCATAAAAGAATAAATCTTAAAAAAAAAAAAAAGTGTGGCTCTTGGGGAGTCTCATGCTTCTCATTTGCTCTATTTTCAGATCCTCTTGATTATCGCTTCAGTGATTGGCATCATCGTCTACAGGCTCTCAGTGTTCATTGTGTTTTCTACAAAACTTCCCAAGAACTTAAATGGCACAGACCCAATCCAGAAGTACCTGACTCCACAGACAGCCACGACCATCACGGCATCCATCATCAGCTTCATCATCATCATGATTCTGAACATCATCTATGAAAAAGTGGCCATCTTGATTACTAATTTTGGTACGACCCCACTCCCCGCGGTGGGACCTAGCAAAAACAGAGACTATTTTTCGGCATTTTCAAGTCTAGGATGTTAAAATTTTGAGAACATTTCAAGTGTAAACATATTTTCATTCGTTTCTATAGGAAATGAATTGTCTACAGCTTTGCCTTCGTGAAAGGGACAGAACAAAGATAATCATTATAATGTCCAAGCTCTGTGCAAACAGATCAGGGTTGAGTAATATTTTCAATTATATTAGATCATGTACTGCATTGTTGAAAGTAAATAGTCTTTTTATTGCAAATAAGTGGAATAGGGTCATGGTTCCAGTAGCAAATATGCTTCCTCTGCTGCCGAGAAGACGAGTAATCACACTGTTACGAGTCTTCCCCGCGCTGTTCATATTAATACAGCTCCATTCTCATCAGCTCTGGCTTTTATAATAAGTGTTTCTTCTCTCTGGCTGGCTTCCCAGGCAGCTGCTTAGTGGCCCAAGTGTGGTGCCTCCCCCACACCCCACAGGCCTCCATCGTTCTCCAAATGGTCCACTCACCGGTCATCTTCTGAAAATCATCCGGCCAATTTAAATTCTGAACAGGAGGGTGACCTGTTCTGTCTTCCCCAAATGCTTCTAGCAAGTTTCCTGTTGTCTTGTTTATTTCCTTTAACAGATCTACCTTAGTACAATTCAAAAAGATAGATCATTTAGCAAGCTGTTCTAAAGTACTAAGCGAAGGTAATTCTTGCCCTTTTGATAACACTGTGCTTCTAAATCTTTAGAAAGTTGATTTTTTTAATTTTTTGCCTTGTGGGATATTGTATTCATGGGGGAAATTCTTGTAACAATGTGTAAATTTGGAATTAACACAGTAGCTATATTAAGAAATCAAACAGCTTAAATGGAAACAGTGTGAATTGATGGGTTGTTTTTTTTTTTTTAACAGGTTAACTCATGTATGAGTGCCTTTGATGAGGGTCTCAAAGCTGTTCACAATTTTAAAATCTCACTTTTCTTTGTTTGATCTGTAGAACTCCCAAGGACCCAGACTGATTATGAGAACAGCCTCACCATGAAGATGTTCTTGTTCCAGTTTGTCAACTACTACTCCTCCTGTTTCTACATTGCCTTCTTTAAGGGCAAATTTGTCGGTTACCCAGGAGAGCCCGTGTATTGGCTGGGAAAATACAGAAATGAAGAGGTGTGAATTTAGAATTACATCCTCTTGATAACTTAAGCTACCTCATGTTTTCTCTGCTGCTCAATGAACAGTTTATTGTACAGTTACTGTCTGATTTTTAGCCAAAAAAAGAATATCAGAAAAATAAGATTAAATGACTGTTTCATATTAGACCCATCACAAATCTAAGTGACATGTTCTCTTTAACATGGCAGTGTGATCCCGGGGGCTGTCTCCTTGAACTAACAACACAGCTGACGATAATCATGGGAGGAAAAGCAATCTGGAATAACATACAAGAAGTGTTACTTCCGTGAGTATGAGCTGTGTCATCTTGGGAGAATGGGGGTAGAAAAATGCACCCAGCGGAATAATCTGCCTGCGTGTCCATCTCTAAACTATAATGGACTCTGCTACTAGTCTCCAGTCAAGGTAGCCCAGCCATCAGAGTAAACGTACTTGAGGTTTTCTTTTGTGTAGGAGAACCGGGGTATAGGCCAGAAAGTAGGGAGTGAGAGGATACCCCAGAGACAGAGCAGGGAGCAGAACAAGTGGATCCACTGAAATCCACTGCTGAGGGGAACATCAAGCAAGACAGGAGAGGTCTGCTGTGCCATGTGGGTCAGCTGCCTGGCCAGCTGGGGATTGAACTCAGGCCGTAGCGGTGAACAGTGCTGAGACTCAGCCCTTAGGCCACCAGGGAGACCCATACTCAGGGTTTAAATAAGTATGTTAAAACACCTTCTTAAATCCCATCCCTGATCATTGACCCTGGATGGCTTGCCCTTCTGGGGCTGTGAACTAAGTATCCCCACAACTTCTCACAAGTCTCTCCTCCCTCTCCACCATGCATTTAAAACTCAGTGATAGTGACTGCTGGATGTCCTCTGTGTCAATCACTGTGTTCAGTGTTTTATATGTTTACCTCCCTTTTGCAAATGAAAATTCTGTGGCTTAAAGAAGGTAAATGACTTATCCAAGTTCACATCCACAAAGAACACTGTAGATACATATCTCCAGTTCCAGGTTTGGAGAATAGTTGTGTTGTGGTCCCAGGGCACGTACCATAGAGGATATAGTTTTGGAGAGCAGTATCTAAAGCAGTTACCATGAAGGTTCCACCCTACTGTTCTTTCCCTTAAAGATGAGAGCACAAGTTGTCATAAGGTCCTGGTGGCCTAGGGGTTGAGTCTCAGCACTGTCATCACTGTGGCCTGAGTACAATCCCCAGCCAGGGAGCTGACCTACATGGCACAGCAAACCTCACCTGTCTCACCGCTGCTCCCCACAGCTGTGGATTTCAGTGGATCCCCCTGTTCTGCTCTCCACTGTCTCTGGGGAATCCTGTCATTCCCCTGCATTTTTGTACTATACTTCAGTTGTATGCATAAACAAATTAAGTAAATCTTTAAAAAAAAAATCCTTCATCCCACTATCGAAATGTATTGGCTTTTTCCTCTGTCACCCTCTCTATAGTTCCAGTCTCCTGTCATATTGCCTTACCTCTGCCCCTGCCCATATCACATCAAACTTTCTTCTCTCTACCCTTCCCTCGCCCTTCCTCTCACTCTGCCATTCTGCTCATTCTGTTCATGGACGGTTACCCTCTTTTTTTTTTTTTTTTTCTTCCTGTTTTTGGAGAGCAGAAACTTCTAGGTTTCAGTGTGTCTTTCCAGATTTCTTCACAAGGCTCATTCCATCTTCAGCGGGAATTAGCAGAATTTGTCCTTAAGCAATGACCTCTCTTTTTCCTCTTCCCTAAAGGACTCTAGTCGTAGCTGTGAAATTACTATTTTCTTTACCTACTGTGCTGTCAGTGACCCTTGCTTTCATTGAGCTCATATCCAGCTTTTCCAGATGAGTAAAAGTAGGTCATGCACACATAACACTGTTTCTATATGAAAACAAATAATATCAAATAGAAGAAAGTCTTAACGCAGACTTGAAAGCATTTTTTGAAGGATGTAGATTAGTTCGCACTTGTTTTGATGACTGGTTGTCAGTAAATTCATTTTTATTTTAAAAATGTAGGGGGCTTGGATCTAATTTCCAAATTAGTATTGATAAATTCACATGCAGTGAAATGTGTTCCTGTGAAATATTTTTAGAGGAAGGTGTATTGTTGGAGCCACAGCTGTTGTTGCTTCTCCTCCAGGAGATATTGCACCCAGTATGACAAATTACAGTCACCTAAACCTGGCCTGTCGATGTTTTTACTTCTAGCCCAAATTACTGAGGCAGCATGTTTCAGTGATCTTTCTTGCACTTTTGAAAACCTGGATTGCTAAACATTAACCAAATTAGGGGATGACTCGGGATCACAAAATTGCGGCTTCTTCTCTTTAGGTAGGCATCCCCTTCCTTCTTACTTTTTTCATATGACGTTCTCATATAACAAGGACGTGGTAGTTATTCTTGTCACCCTAACTACACCCATCCCAGAAGGAATAAGGGAGAGAAAAGCCTTATAATTCAGTGGCTATTTTCATACTACTTTAATGCATCAAAAAGAATGGAATGAAATTAGTTTCGCTATAAACTTAACCTCCCTCTGCCCCCAACCACCTCGGCTCCTTCATTTGTTCAGTTCCCGGAGCAAATGAAGAAGCAAAGCTGACACTGTGATTCCGTGACCTTAGGGGGCCCTTGCGCATCCAGGGCAACGCTGGGCATTTACGGGGTGCTCAGTGAGAACCGAGTAACTCGTGCCTTAAATATGTAGCCTCAGCACATTAGCATCATTGTTTATTGGACCCAGAGAACAAGCCCATCACCCCTGGGCCTTCTCACTCACTTAGTATTCTGAGATTTAAGGCACTCCTGGGAATTTTACTCTATACATAACACAGGGCTGCTACAATTCCAGCATGAAACAGCTCACTCTGGGGTAATTTTTTTTAACATCTTTTTATTTTTAAAGATTTACTTATTTACTTATTTATTTATTTATTTATTCATGCATACAAAACTGGGGTATAGGCCAGAGGTGCAGGGATGGTGAGAGGATTCACCAGACTCAGAGTGGGGAGCAGAACAGGCAGAGTGATGAAGTACACTGCTGAGGGGAGCAGCTGGTGGACCAGGTCTGCCTCGCCATGTGGGTGCTTGCAGTGCTGCATCCTAACCCATTGCAACACCAGGGAGGGCCACTCTGGAGAAATTCTTGTGATAAAATATTATGAAAAATAGTTAGAGGTAAGTATTCAAAATGGCAGTAGCATTGTCCTTTGATGTTTAGGTAATGGATGACTGTGATTTTCTTATTAGTTTTCTATAATGGCTTTGAACTTCTTGAGTAAGGAAAGTGAGCTGTTAAAGAAAAAATATCCCTTCTTGGAATGTATTGCAATTTTGGAAAAGGCATGATGTATTTTTTTCTGTTCTTCAAGCAAAAATGCAGCTTGGCTTTTCCAACAGCCCAACAATTTGTAATTTTGTCAAGAGACATGCAGTAAGAAAATCCTAATATGGCTTTTCCTCACTGTCTATCCTCATAATTTCAATTAAAAAAAAAAGTAGACCCAGGAGTGGAACATATTTAAATAGGAGAGAGTGCTTTTGTTCAAAATTAGCAAGTGGGAATGCTATAGGGTGTCCTAAACAGAAAAAATGATTATCTTTAGTATGTGTGTTAAATAGAATGAAGATAAAAGAAAAAGCCATGCAAAGTAATTCACACATACAGTAAGGACTTAGTGAAAGGCAACTTTTTATAAAATGGTTTTGCCCATATGCTAAGTTCCTAAAGAAATTACTTTGTAACCACTGGTAAAGAAAGAAAGCATCTCCTCTTGGCCAGGGAAGAAAGTACTTGGCATCTGGATTTGTTTGTAATTCCATAGATGATTTTCATGTGGACTTAAAATGAAGATCCCTGCACCAGAATCATAACCTAATAAAAGACCCAAAAGACCAAGGATCATGTAATAGGAGTTACAGCCCATTATTTCTACAGAAATAATAAGAAATTTAACACGGAAACAAAGAATTAATTTCCTAATATGTTCTTTATTCAACTTGAGATATCAACACATACTTTCATGATTTGGGGGATAAGAGTCTAATCTGCACTTTGATCTTTTGACAGCTGGATCAAGAATCTAATTGGACGATGCAACTCAGTTTCAGGTTCAGAAAAGGTCACCCCACGATGGGAACAGGACTACCATCTGCAGCTCATGGGCAGGCTGGGGTTATTTTATGAATACCTTGAAATGAGTAAGTTATTGGTGGTAGTTTGGGTGATGTAAATTATATTGGAGCACGTTTCGGATCCCAAAAACATTATTGAGCCAGATAATAATCTAGTGGGTTGAAACGGAGTTTATTTTTCTCAACTAAATGAAATTAATAGAATCAGGCTTGCAAATAAGGTGACTGTGTCTCTTTGTCAGTATTTATGTTGTGCAAAGCTACAGATGTATTACCAAACAATGAAGCAAGATACTCATTGAGGTACATCGGTACCATCATTATCAGAGCGTCCTACCATGTTGTCTGAGCCTCAGCTCAGAATTGTTATTAGAGGTGATTCAGCCTGAGCTGTACAAATGATGTCAGGGTCTTCCCTTCCCGCCCCCATTCATTTTCACAGCCTGCACTTGCTTCTGCATATCTTTTTCTCCTGGCCAGTTGTTTCCTTGAGTGACCTCAGATCTAATAACTGGTTGGAGTTCAGACCTATGTTTGCTGGTCTGGCATTGATAGTCCGCATGCATTGCCTGAATGCCTTTGCCCATCTGTGTAGTATTTCCTTGGGTTCAGCTTCAGTTGCACCTGATTTTAAGTCCTCAGGTGCTTTTCAATGGATACAGCTCAAAATTAGATCTCCATAGGAAAGAGCATCTTTTCTCTTAAGCATGACATACTTAAATCTAATAGAAACCCAGCGATTTATGTGTTTTGTTTCTTTGCCCTTTTGCTTAACTAGTGCAGTGAATTATGCTGGTCTCAGGCTTAGGGAACAGGAAAGGGAGGCTGACTGTGATAGAGGTCTTACACTGAATGGAGTGGGGTGTGTTTGTAGAGACACCCCCTTGTCATTTCTGTTTACCGGTTTGCAGAGAGAGGGAGATTTCTATTAAATTCTATTTTATATTCTAAAACAGTTGCTTTTAAAAAATACGCATTGTACATGGAAACACATCTGCTTTCACCATAAGGTGAAAGGTTCGTCTTATTTACTATGTTTATTCTCAAAATGACCTTACGACAGCTACCTGCTATTGAGTCATAATTGTTAAGTCTTTTATAGGAAGTATTATCAGAATTAACAATAACAACATCTTGGGGGAGAACATGATTTTTATTTTAGCACAGCAAAGTTGGAAAAGAGTTATTCTTCTATAGTTGATTTGACAAACAAGTGGCATGGAGAGGAAGAGTTACGTGGTCATGTGCTAGAGAGTTGATGTGACTATTAAATCTATAAGGAAGGCTAGAATAACAGCTGTTTTGACAGAATTTCTTTGCTTTATTCAATTGTTTTATTATCCCAATAATACTTAATAAATCAGAAAAAGTAATCAGTTTCTGACAATAGGCAGTCTATTATTCTTTACTCAAGAGTGATATCTAGGTTTTCTGCTTTTAGTTTGTGAGAGATAGAATTTCCAAGTGCCTTTGAGTTATTTTTGCTCCTCTAAAATAAATATAGAACATCTTTGGTGATGGTCTCAACTCTGCAGACTTCCTCATCTCTGTCAACTCCAGCATCTAACTTTTAAATTATGTCTCCAGCTGCTGAAGAGCAGCATCTTCTGACAAACTAGTGTGGAGGCTCCTGTCTTTGCTCCCAGCGCCAACTCTGTCCCCCCACCCACCTCGGGGAGGGAACTGGAGGAGTCCCTGTGGTTCAAAGCAGAGCCCTTGAACTTTCTGCAGTTTTGCAGCTTGCTTTCTCTAGGAGTTAATAGACCTTGTCTTCTGCCTTGGTGTGGGATTTAGGGCACATCTCTCTCTGCGCTGGGTTCATCCCGGTGGGTGTGACCACCAAGGCCTTGGCATCTTTGAAACCTGTGGAGCCCTGGTTTTAGGACTCTTGGCCTTTCAGTGCATGTATCCAGCTGGTAGTCAATTTTACGTGAGCATAGCAACAGCCACCTCACCCCATAATGAGATATATGTTCTGTGTGTGTGAATTTTTTTAATATTCTTTAATCAATTTCTTATCCTTCGAGATCATCCCAATAACCTGGGGGTGAACCAGAATGGTCTCCCAGAGTGTATGTAACTCTGGAAACTCAGACCCAGAATATAAGAGAAAGGAAAGGTATCAGTTTTAATGCCTGAGAGCCAGAAGTAGCCTTTTGTGCCTAGAACATCACACAGCCCAGAGGCTAGGCTCTCCAGAGCCTGGTGGTGCCTTCCACAGTGGACAAAGCCAGGATGTGGGGCTGGAGGGGAAAGAGCCCTCTTTGCTTCTCTTCCAGCCTCTTCCACTCTCGCCATTAACTTGGACTTGCCGCCTCCATCTCCTTTTCAGGGTGCCTTCCCTTTCTCCTCCTGGCTTTCCAGAGCTCCTTGGAGGCCCCGCTCTCCAGGACTCCGCCTCGGCCTCCCCCAGGCCTTCATGTCCGGCTGCTGTTGGCTACCACCCGGGGTGGAGTTTCCTAGTCTTTGCTGGCTGTTGCCAAAGTGACAACGAGTTAGTGGGCGAGAGAATTCTTAGGCTTCCAGTCTCTTGAATCATTCATTTAATCAACAAGCACTTTTTTGAGCACAGCAAGACCAGAAGACTAGTCCCTGCCCTCACAAGTAAAGGATGCCGAGTACTTAGGGGGTTGCCCAGAAGGTGAATGAAAATTAGGTTTATTCCAACTGGATTTTGAAGGAGGAAGCAAACTATGGTGGAGCAAACAGACATTTTATGAGAAGACGACACAGTGGAAAGGTCAAGGGCATGAAACAGGCTGGGCCGTTCAAAGAATGGGAGAGAAGCCAAGTGTGGCTGCAACAAGGCTGTAGGGGAGGGTTAGCAGAAAGCAAGGGCTGTGTCGCCATGGATTTTGTGGGCTTCTCCAAGGGACTTGAACTGATCTTTAAGGAAATGTGTGCTTTGGAGATGATCAAACTACTCTGACAGCAAAAGGGGATGAAATTATTTGGGGTGGGTCTATTTTGGTAGGAAGAAGAGATTTCAATAGGCGACCCCAGTAGGTCACCTAAATAATTGTAACTACTGAAACAGAGGCTGTGATCTGAGGAATTGAGACAGAGAGAAATTCAGTCGTTGTTAAAGGTGAGAGCACATAGCTAGTGGGGAATAGAATTAAGATAATTTCTGGAGACTGAATGTGGGTGGAATTGCAGAGGACATGATTTGGAGGAAATGAATTAGTCTCAGATATCTATTTTTAAGATTTATTTATTTATGCCTATGAGCACTGGGGTCTAGGCCAGAAGTATCGGTGGATGATTCACTAGAGACGTGGGGACCAGAACAGGTGGATCCACCGAAATCCACTGCTGAGGGGAGCAGCGGGCAAGACAGGAGAGTTCTGCTGTGCCATGTAGGTCAGCTCCCTGGCTGAGGATAGAACTCAGGCCGCAGTGGCTGGTGATAACTCGATGGTGCTGGGACTTGAACCTCTGTACCACCAGGGAGGCCCTAGACTCACAGATCTTGAGCAGCTGTTTGTGGGATGTCTGAGAGGAGTCCATTAGAAAGCTCGAACTCAGAGGACTCCAGGCAAGGTCAGGGGGTGAATCAGCCCTGCTAGGGGAAAACTGGTGATGTGACTCTTCCCAGAGGCATTTAAAAAGTAAATGGAGGGATAGAAAGCCACAAAGAGAAGGAGGAGCAGGGCAGGTGGGAGAAGTCCATCGGGGAGTTGTGTCCACACAGAGAAGATTTCAAAGGCTTACGAGGAACTGGAACACAGACCAAAAGTAGCATAATGGAAACTAACCAGTGAGGAAGGAGCAAGCAGCAGTGCACACACTTAATTGCTGGCACTAAAGGGAAAGGTGGGAAAAGCACGGAGGCATGTTAGGTTCTGAGTATATGATTACATTCACATGCTCCCGTGCTTTTTTTTTTTTTTCTTTACTCTTCTAACATTCAAGTAAAACAAAAATCAAGAGGAAGCACATTCCTCAGGGAGAGAGATACTCACCGATAATAAAAGTAATCAAATAAGAACTGAAATGGCCATTGGCTTTGGGCCCTGTGCCCCAGCAGTTTGCCAGACAGTGATGAGGGATGTCAGGCTTTGCAGAGATAGTCGTGGATAGTGAGAACGTCGAACTTCCTGCAAGAAGCTTGGCACAGAGTTGAGAGAGTGGTATACAGGCCCATAAAAAAGTATTGGGTGAGGTTTTTTTTTTTTACAATGGGTTTTTTTGCCTTACTGAATGAATACATTTCATATTTTTTATGTTCTTGGTTTTAAACATTCTCGTGTAAACATCAGGACAAATTATACCATGTTTTTGGGTGAAGGTGTATTTTTTTTTTAAAGCTGAGTAATTTTTTTTAAAAGATTTATTTATTTATTCATACAGAACTGGGGTACAGTCCAGAGGTGTGGGCAGTGAGAGGATTCACCAGAGACAGGGTGGGGAGCAGAACAGGCAGATCGGCGAAGTACACTGCTGAGGAGGGGAGCAGCGGGCAGGTCAGGAGAGGTCTGCCACGCCATGTGGTCACCTCCAGGGCAGGCAGGGATCGAACTCATGCGGAATTGGCTGAAGCACAGCTTCTTAGTGCTGTGCTTTAACCCGTTGCGCCACCAGGGAGGGCCTGAAGGTGTATTTTTAAATTAAAATTTTTAATCAATCTAGAATTTACTTTGGTGTAAAACGTCAGTAACCATTAACAGTTTTTCCAATGATTTCACTAATTGTTCCAATATTTACTTATTTCACTGGTTTCAGGTATCACATTTATTTTTTTTCTTTAATTGCTTCTGGTCCTGTTAATATTTTGACAGTATAGTATTTCTCATCTCAGGTATGATTTTGGTGATGGCCACAAAGCAACTATAGTCCTCTTCTACGGTCCATTATGTTCTTCCCATCTCCCCTATTCTCTCTCCTCTCCCGCCTTCCTCCTGGATGCCTCAGGTCTATGCTCAGCTTTCAAGGGTTTGATTTACAGTTTATCTTTGTGTGACCCTTTGTTTGGCTTTACATATAAGTGAGATCATCCAGTACTTATCTTTCTCCTTTTTGCTCACTTCACTTAGCATAAGCTCTTCAGTGCCATCCATGTTGCTGCAAGTGACGTGTGTTTATATTTTTGATGGCTGAATAGTATTCCACTGTATATATGTACTACATCTTTCTGACCCACTCATCAATTTGGAACTCTTAGGTTGTCTCCACATCTTGGCTGTTGTAAATAGTGCTGCTATAAATATGGGAGTGTGTGTTTCTTTTCAAATAATGTTTCTGTATTTTGGTGGTAGATATCTAGGGATGGAATTACTGGATCAAATGGCAGATCCAATTTTAGAAACATCCATATGGGAATCCCATCAATATTAAAATCTATTTTTAAAATCTATTCTGTTTAATTCATGCCATGTCAATGCACTAGTTCTAAACTGTTTTAATTACTCCAGTATCATTATATATCTTTATACCTCAGAGCTCTGCTTTCATTTTATCCTTATTCAGAATATCCCTGATACTCAGTTCAGACAGCCTTCCTTGTTATTTTACTTGTACATTTGTATTTTTGAGGAACTCTAAATTTACTTTAGAATTCTAAATTAAATTTGGAAGAGGGGTGGAAGTGGATATATTCCCAAATTGGAGTCTGCCCAATTGAATAGTACAGTCCATCCTACCATTCACTCATTCATTCATTATTTTTTGTTTTCTTTATTTATTAAAGTCCGTTTTAAGTCCAATTACTTGACATTTCATACTAATTTATTCTTAAAAATGTGTGTTTCTGTTGTCATTATAAATAGTATCTTTTTTTTTTATGTTTTTAACTAAGTCTATTGCTAACACAGTCCTCATATCTGGCTGCTTTGGAACAGTGAGATCTGGCAACTCTGAGCTCATTTTCCAGCAGGGCAGTGGTGGGCTCTGCCTTCAGGAGGACGTGCCCTCACTGGCTACATGTACTTGCCAGGGTACCAGAGCTGGGCATACATTCCAGCATTCCCTCACTTGCCAGCCCCTCTAGGCAGGTGAGTCACATGAGATAACTGAGTCACAGACACAGGTGTGGAGCCTGGCTCAGTGCTGAGCTGCTGTCACCAGCCTGGTCCTGGCTTTTCTGACTTGCCTCCTGCCTAGCCTATACACCTGCTAGATCTTTCTAGCCCTGTCCACTCTTTCATGACATTCCCTGGCCTTTTAGAACACAAGGAGGTAACAGTTTCTCCTACCCACTACCCCTACCTCAGTCTTTCCTTTCTAGATAAAGAGGTCATGCCCCTCTTCCAGCAATATGTCAGAGGGATGGTAAATTTCCTTCTCATCTACATTTTTAGCTGTGGGTTTGCTTTCAAGGTCTACCTGGTAGGAGGAGAGGCTCTGAAATAGAAAGATCTCATTGGTTTTCTGGTCTTTCTTTTCTAAATTCTACCCCCCCACCCCCATGGTACAACTTCCCCTGAATCTGTGCTGCTCCACATTAATTACAGAAGAGGAAGAAGAGCTTCTACAATTCAGTGAATCTGGATTCCTGTAACCACACAAACTAGCACAGTTTCAAGATAAAAATTCTAAAGAAAGATTATACTGTGACTATTACAAACCTTGATCACATATATTTCCATGGTCTGGAATTCTCTGAACTCAAATCCATAAACTCAGAGGTGCTTCCTTATCTGCTTCTTTAACATATTTCTTCCAACAGTCTATAAATAGAGTTTCCCCAGAGGACATTTCTTATTTATTCTTAAGTTGTTAGACATTTCCACAATACTCCTTTTCTTTTTTTAGTCCTAAGTTATGAATCATTTTCCAACATTTTATTATTTCGACACAGCAAATGAATACTATGCTTAGCATATCACAGGTGTGTTACCAGCAAATGTCTTTGGTGGAATTAAATTTTTTTATGTATTTATTATTAATGTATTAATCCTACTAAGTGTGTACATGTAACAAACAGGTTATAATTAATCCTTTTCGTAGAGATGTCATAGTTGTGTTTGGTTTGGCTCTTCCAATGTTACATGTTAAGTGGTATCTGCACGGTGCCTTTTCGCTGTGGGATTTGGCTTGTTGTCGGCCTTTCTCTTGGCTGTACAAGAGTAAAGACCTTGTCCTTCCATCCATCTGCCACTTCATGATGTGTGTCCATTCCATTGACAGTTATTCAGTTTGGGTTCGTCACCTTATTTGTGGCCTCTTTCCCACTGGCCCCTCTATTGGCCTTGATTAACAATATATTGGAAATAAGAGTGGACGCTTGGAAAATGACCACCCAGTATAGACGGATGGTACCAGAAAAAGCCCAGGACATCGGAGCATGGCAGCCCATCATGCAAGGAATTGCGATAATGGCCGTGGTGACCAATGTGAGTAAGCCCAGCTTCACAGGGAAAGACCTGGACAAGTCCAGAAATATATGAGAGTTGCTACATAAGGAATCAAATGGTTGGGGTTTTTTTTAATGACAATGCCAGGACTATCATCTTGATATTAACATAGTTTAAACTATATTTGTTATTCTTTTTAAAATGTATTTTAATTGTTAGTAATTATTATTCTTGCTTTGCCATGTTAAGATCTCTTACAGTAGCAGATGCTAAGACACGTGACCATTACACTAGTATTGCTCATTTGCTCAAGTTTTTATTCAATACAAACATACTCATTGTAAATCTTTTATTCTTCTTGTGGCTATAAAAATTATCATCCAGTAGTGCTTTTATAATGTGGGTAGAAACCGGTCTGTTTAAAGTATAAAGTCTCTAACACAAAAGCTGTAATTCTAATATATTTAACTACATATTCCAAACCATCAACTTAAAACATTAACTTTGTTAATTAGCATAAACACTTTTTGCATTCTTTCACTCTTGGTGCAGCTTCTTGAAGGGGGCCTATTTTGGATGACCCCTTCTTCTTTCTCTCCCCCTATCATCCCCCTACCCACCCACACTCCTGCCCCTGCCCTCTCTCACCCCCGGTCTCTGTTAGCCCCAGTCTGGTCATTGGCTAAGCAGTCCCTGTAGGTAGCTCAGCTGTGAGGGAACAGAGCCTATTTTGCTTATAACCTATGTCAATTATGAAGTAGTCTCTTGCCTACCCCCTCAGTTTGGGGGTGGCGGCAGGAATGCCAACAGGAGCTCCCAAGCCCATTAATCTGCACAACAGCTCCTCAGTAGACTCCTTTCCTAGAAATGCCCATAAAAACAAGGCTACTTTCTCCTCTAATTTTACTAATTTCTCCTCTAATTTCATGATTTCCAGAGAAAGAATTTCTGAGTTTTAGTTGGGTCCTGAGTCCTCAGCCTTCTGTCCCCCATGGGAGAGTTGGGCTGTCCCTAGGGTGAAGCTGCTGGGTGAGGATGGCTGAACAGGGCAGCTTCCAAGCCATGTGATCTTGGACTAGACTTGACACTTCCAAGTTTCACTTTTTTCAGTTGTAAGTCAAACAATTCCCTACCGCATATTATGAGAATATTATTTACCACCAAGGGTGAAGGAGGAATTCCTCCATGGGCTGCTCAGATCCCATGCCTCTGGGATGGTAGCAGCTGCTCTCTTACCCTTCTTATTTCTCATCATTTACTGGGTCTATTTTGATGACATCTAAACTAGAAGCTCAAGAATTTCACCATGTGTCACTGTCATTATTATTTATCATCATCAGTTGGCTCTGTAGACTTTTATGAGTATCTGTTCTAGAGGTACAAGAATTTCAGGCCCATCATTACAGTTTCATACAGTAAAAACAAGATCTTTGGAGCCCAGCTGTGTACCCCCCCAAGAACTCTCAATTTACCTGAATCTCATGCTAGAGTCTCTGCTTTTGGGAGAAAGTTGTAAGTCACACACTTAAACAGCTACTAGGTTAGGTCAGTTTCCATTCACCCAGGTAGCCACACCTTTAAATCCACTTGTTGCAAAATTGAAGACTTAATGTTCAGAAATAGGACAGTGGGCCTTTCAATGCCAAAGTCATGAAAGAAAGAACCTATCATGTTCAGCTTACTGGACAGCTCTAAGCTAGACAGGATCGTGGGCTATATGCTGTAGGAAAATCTACAGGAACAAGGTTTGAAACTCCAGGGCTTTTATATGACCTTCCACTACCTGGAAACATCAGTTGACTCACAGTCCCTTTCCTCCAGCTCTCCAGCTTGATGATGTCGGCACCTTCCCCCAGTGCTCGCAGCAGACCATGCTGCACTAGCCCAGATGGCCTGTCGGCTACGTCTCCAAGGCATTGTGTGTGTGTAAACACACAGGCACACACCTGCCAGCTCACAGCGCTGCTGATTCTTAGCCATAGTTGCTTTTTCCGATAGCTTATGCATCATGTTATTATGTTCTAGAAAAACAAATTACTAGATTTGTGATATCGATTAATCTATGGGCAGTCTTTTCTCCATGTTGTTTCATGTTCCAAGATGCAGGTCCTGCATATATTTATATGTATGTATGTCAGAAGTAAGCAGGTATAATTTCCCCCTACCTGCCTTATACAGGTCTCCACCCTCTAATGTGCACATAAAAGTCTAACAGAAGAACTTTTAACAGTAGGAAAAATAGAATAGCCACCAGGGATGAGAATGGACAACAAGCAGGAATTTGGTATAAAATCTTCTTAAAGCTACTGGTTCAATCAATAAGCTGAATTGACATTGCTGTAGTATGCCAGAGCATCTGGCATTGAAGACCAATTTTAATTTATTTTATATAAATGGAAAATCATGTTCAGAACAGCATGGAAAATGAAGCACACTGCATTTATTTGTGCTCTTGCAGAGTGTCTCAAAGCAGCTCAGTTCAGGAGGAAAAAGTATCTTGTCAGAAGACAATAGAATTACCTCCCTCGTTGGAATATTTGTAGCTTCCTAAAGCCCGTCTGTGGTGGGTCAATAAAAGGCTATCATTGAGTTAAGTGATAACAGGAAATTTTAATCTTTTGAAGTCCAGAAAAATAAAATATTCTTCCTTACTCTGCCACCACCATCAATACCAGCTGACAGGCAGATATGCACACACACTTTTCACTGCAGAGGAAAGACAGAGTCCCTTCTAGTGGGGGAAGTTTTGCAATCGAAAGCCCTGGGTTGTTTTTCTTGCTTTGCCTGAGATCTTGGCTGTGTTCTCTTTGTGTCTAAACCATATGTTCAGATGAACATTATTAAAAATCATGTTGTGCCAAAAACACGTCTGTTCTTCTGCCTCGGTAAATGAATCATTTAGCAATGTTGATTCACATAGAATTTGGTTTATATTTTATACTCATTTAGTGTTTATTTTTTATAGTATAATTTATTTATTTATATATATTGTACTTCATTGTTCATTTTTGTACACTGTTTGCTTTCTCCTCTCAGGTGTCGTCCCCATAAAGTTCCCACTACCCAGTCACCCGGGCACCATCACCACAGTCCCTTATGCTCTCCCCTTCCCTGTTTTGACCCCTCCAGAGCAGAATGTCTCTGATTTATAGTTATTTTTTATTTATTGTTATTATTTTCCCCCAACCCCCTTATTTGGCTTCCCTGCATTCCCCCATAAGTGAAACCATCTGATATTTTTTTTCCTTCTGACTTATTTCACTGAGCATCATCCCCCTCCAGCTCCATCCACGTTGCTGCAAATGGCATGAGTTTACCTTTTTGATTGCTGATTAATATTCCACTGTGCATATAGACCACAGCTTTTTTATCCAATCATCTGTTTTGGGGCATTTGGGTTGTTTCTATATCTCACCTATTATATTAGAATTTAGTTTAAAGCATACTTTTTGACTTTCTTCTTCCCTTCAAACTGAGTTTATGCATTGGAGAATTTCTAGCCTGAATGAAAAAATTTCAGAGAATATTTGTATAGTTCATAATGACTTTATGGCTTAATAAATGTCTCCCAGGTTTAAAATTGACCTGTATTTGTTTCCTTTAATTTGGAAAAACAGTAAAACTTTGTTATTTGATCACTTGTACTGTTCATAACTTTCTCTACTTACTCTATTGAAAGTTAAGAGGCTTAAATACTGAGCCCTGGAACAAAATAGACATCATTGTTGAACAGTGTGAAGACAATGAGCCTGGTGTAGATTTTTGCTGCCAACATTTAGTAAAATTAATGAAAAAAATTCTCACTTTCTAATGAAATGATGTATATTAGTATGTACTGAAATTTTAAAATAAATCAGGCCGTCTTTTCTAAGATATTATAGCATATCCTATATGTTTTTAACATAGTATAGTGTGATCCTATACTATGGTACCTAAATGCCCCAAACAGTAAAAAATATGACTTTGAAGGCCAGTACTTACTTCAGATCAAGGAAAATATATTTTGTGTAGTTTAGATTCTATTTTTGAGAGGCAAGTAATAGAAAATCTGTTTTATAGCAGTTATTTAAAAAGGATTTTCATAATGTTAACTTTCATTATTTCACATACATTAGGAATATCTGAATCACAAAAGAAAGCTTGAAATTATATCAAGCAGAGTTCTAAGGCTGATTGAATTTTTTCTTATCCTAATTTTTGAAGATAACTACTAATTTATATATAATATATATAAGTAGCTATTTTGTTAGCAATAGTACCCTCTTGTACAATTATTTGTACATTCTTTAAGAAACATGTTATTTGGGAAAGCATAGTCTTTACCTTTGTGTTCCTTCAAACCAATTTTATGTACTGGAAAGTTAAAAATGCAAATTTAAAAGTTTTAGAGAAAATTTATGTAACACCAAAGGATAATTATCAAGCCCTTGCTTTTGAACTTCTGGACATCGCATTAGAATTAAAGATCAAAAGGAAATTAACTAATCCACTTTAAAGCAACTACTCAAGGGCCTCCATGGTGTCCTTGGGGTTAAGACTCAGGCCTATCACCCTTGTGGCCAGAGTTTGATCCCTGGCCAGGGAGCTGACCCACAGGGCAGAGCAGACCACTCCTCTCTCACCCCATTGCTCCTCCTCAGCAGTGGGTTTCATTCGATCCACCCATTCTGCTCCCCACTCTATCTCTGGTAAATCCTTTCACCTCTCACCTGCACCCCAATTCTTCTACACAAAAATAAGTAAAACATTTTAAAAAAATAAAGCAGCTACTCAAAAGATGTTAAGACAGTTTACTCTATGTTAGCCCTTTGATACAAAAAGAACTAAAGTTTTTAGATCTTTAAAAAAGATGAAAAATATAATGAAAATATAATTCGGGCATATTTATTAACCTATCTCTACAGGTGTCTTAAATTGATGCCTTTTACTGTTTTCCTCCCACACAGGCCATGATTATTGCTTTCACATCAGACATGATCCCGCGCCTGGTATATTACTGGTCCTTCTCCGTCCCCCCTTACGGAGATCACAGCCACTACACCATGGAGGGTTACATCAACAACACCCTGTCCTACTTCAACATAGCAGACTTCAAAAACAAGAGTGATGGAAATCCTTACATTGGACTCGGTAACCATACCACGTGCAGGCAAGTTTAAAAAATTATGCATCTTAAAAAGGAGGTGATTGTGACATCATTATTTAGTGTCCTTAAGTAAAACTGACATTTTCCCCTAGCTTTCTTTTCAATCAAACTTTGAATAGGTTAGAATTTTCAGACCGATCTAATGGGGAACTTTCAAATGATTATTACAAGAAGACTGAGCCAGGAGGAAAGTCATGTAACTTAACAATGAAGAAGTTTTAAAAGTTCCAAAAGGCAGGATAATGCAGCTGTTATAACTAAAGTGTTTGCTCCAGCACAATTTAAAGATATTAATGACAAACTAGCACTCTCATCTAACAAAGAATACAGAGACCTCAGCCTGGCCTAATAGGATCTCTAAACTCCAAAGCTCTCCGAATTTACTTGCCTGATTGGTAAGATTATCTGAAAACCCATATATTGAGTAAATTACCAGTTGATAACGTTCGTCAGCTCTAGGTCATAGTGGTTTATTTTTTCCTTTTTTCCTAAAGGAGCCATGAAAATGTACTTAGTTTGACTCCTCAAAAGCCTTTCTTGATGCAAATGGCATGTTGTCCAATTTAAAAAAGAAAACATTGCATTAAGTCTGATTTCTGTGTTTACAGTGTTTGTCAGAATTACCTCCTGATATTTCTCCACTTTGTCTCCAGGTATCGTGATTTCCGGTATCCCCCAGGACACCCCCAAGAATACAAGCACAACATCTACTACTGGCACGTGATTGCAGCCAAGCTGGCTTTTATCATTGTCATGGAGGTAGGAGGAGTCTGTTTTGAAATATAAGGCGGTATATTTGTGAACCTTTTATTAACATTGTGTTGTCAACTCTGACTTAAAATGTACAGTACTTTTTTCTTTAATCGAAGACACACATTAATTAGATCTGACTTGTATCAGTATTAATACTGTTCTCATCAGTTAAATGAAGTTAGTCATCTGCTTTCAAAGTTAAAAGCATTGTATGCTAAAAGTATTCAATTCTTTTCAGTTATTCAGCTTTAACTGAGTATCTTTCAAGGGTCTTATTCAAAATGAGGAAGATGTGACCTCTGCCCTTGAGAAATTTTAAGGGCTATACTAGTCTTATTTGTATTACTATAATTTTATCACATTTTATAGTATCCCTAAAACTGACCAGTTATAAAAATGGCTAGGCAACTCTAAATTTGCAATTGATCCAGATAACTTTATTTCTTATACTGAGTGAATAAATTCTAAAATCTCATAACTTGCATAGTAATTTTGAAAAATATTGGGTTGTCAGAAAAGTCATGATGCATGTTTGCATAGAAAATATTAAAAAATACATCATGACTTTTCTGATAACCCAATAATTAGAGCTTTTCACAATAAAAATATGTAGTTGTAGAAATGAAAAAAAAAATCAGATATGTACTGAATAGAAGTTTAGATAAAAATGAACAGAAAATTAATGAAATAGAACATAGGACTCCAAAAATTAACCTTAGCACATCAAAGGTTAAGAAAATGAAAATATCAAAAATAGGTTAAGCAGAATGAAAAAGTCACAGAAGAAAATGCATAATAGGAAAAGGAAATATTTAAAGATATAATGGCTAAAAATTTTTCCTAATTAAAGAAATACCTCAGTTCACAGAGTAGAAAGCACAACAAATATGAAGTAGAATAGTAACAAAGAAATCCACACTTACACACACTGTAAGAAAAATGCACTACACTGAAGGTCTTAAAAGACCAGACAAAAAGAGACTGGCAAAGAAAATTTTAAATTAGAATGAGAATAGACGTTTTTTAATAGCCAACAATGGAATCCACAAGAGTGGAGCCTAATTTCTTCAAACTGCTAAAAGAAGACAGCTGTCAACCCAGAAATACAGTGCAGTGTAGAGCACTTGAAAATTTTTTCCACAATGGAAATGCCACCATGTAGTTTTACAGGAATGATATCAAACTTTCTCGAACACTCCAATCTCACATCTACTCCTCCAGAGATCAGAAAAAGAAGTAGTTTCCATATCATGTTAGATCATAAAATCAGGCAGGAATGGAAAGACAAAGGAAAATCGTAAGCCACTTCATAGATCTGCAAAGATCTTAAAGTATGCGGACTGAACCTAGCGGTATCGTTTTTAAAGATAATATCGCAGTACACTTGCTGTATCTCAGAAATGCAAGGATGGTATAACAGACAGTCCAGGTATCTATATTGTTATGCACCTCAGAAACATGTTCAAAAAGACCATGTCTCTTTCCTCCATCAACTTTCACCTCTTTACTATATAATTTCCATCTTTCAAACACTAATATCTCTTGCATCTCAAATTCTGCCATTACTGATGAGAAACATTTGATGACCCAGCTGATTGCCTTCTTCTGCTTGAAACTCTGTTTTAGCTCCTTGTTTCTCTCCTTAGTCCACATCCAGTGCCGGTGGCTTTTTCTTGAACAAACAGCACAGCTGGACCTGCTCTTTACCAGCTCTGCTGCTGACACCAGGGGTAATCATAGTTGTTTCTGCACTGACTTAAGGTGACCATCCAATAAGGGGGCCCTGTTGTCCCTCAGAGCAAAGCCAAAGTCTTACAGTGGCGTACAAGGCGTTATGTGTGCCACTGATCACCTCCCCATGTCTTCTCTCCTCCTCGCGGACCTCAGTCCAGCTTTGCCATTGCTAGACCACATCTTGCATCTTCACCCTACAGACTCTGGCTGCCTGTGCCCTTTGCCCAGAATATCTTTTCTCCTGATACATTGTAGTGCCAGCAAGCACAGGGCAGGTTCTCATTGATTCAGGCAGATGGATAAAGGACAGTCCTAGAGCCTGAGTGGCTTTTTCAGGCTTTAATAGTCTTTCTACACCAACTGCTGTGAGATAAACCTGCAGGCTGGTGAGTTAGGGTGCTAGGCCCCCAGAAAATCTGTACACTTTTCTCCTTGGGCTCTTTCTGGCATCATCTCGTAGTCAGGCCTCTGGAATCATCTGTCCTGTCATAGCAATCCTCTGCTGCAGTCGTCCTTTGTCTCTGAGTGGCGCTGCCCTTACACCCTCAACTCTCAGCCCAGGTGTGCACCTCACACATGTCTGCACCATACTTCAGGTGTCCGCCATCAGGCGCATGTGCCCCAAGCCCACGCTTCCAAGCACGCCTTCAGCATTCAAGGCTGCATGTGATCGTCACAGAGGCTAGCAGCATAAAGGCCTGACAGTTCGCTTGCCCCGTATCTGGGCAGTGTTAATCCCTCACCTCCCTAAAGTCTCTGTTCACTGAGCCTTATCTGGCCTACCCTGGAACGGATCTCAGTAAAATTGCCCTCCCACTATAGCTCACTAACTCTTACAATTCTGACTTCCCATAACTGATCACTTTTTAACACCATGAGTTATTTGTTTTTAGTTCTGTTTTTGTATATTTGTATATTATCTTTGAATCCTTACTTGGTCAGGGATCTTCAAGTAGTGAATAAGTGAAAAGTTAGTCACTCTCATTAGTCTCAAGGAATATCACAGTAAGACCCCATAATAAATACTGAAAGCACCACACTGTTGGAAGGAGTGTAAGCTGATACAATGGCTTTGGAAAACACTATCATGTACTGTTGTAAAATTGAGCACTCATGTAAAAAAGAGTCTCAGTCATCTAATCCCTTGGTGCCTACCCCTGAGAAATGCTCAGCTGTGCTCCAGGACCCGAGCACAAGAACATGTACAATATCATTGTTTCTCATACAGAACTGGAAACAAGCCCAGTCTCTGCTGATACAGAATATGTACACTTTGGTTTTTCCACACAATGGAATATTATATAGAAGAAAAAAATGAATAGACTACAATTGACACAATAGCATTATGAATAATTGAATCAACAAAGCAGTTTTATTTTTTTAACTTTATTTTCTTATATCATTGTTCACTTTTTGTACAATATTTGATTTCTACCCTCAGGTGTCATCCCATAATTTCCATACCACCACAGCACCCTTGACCATTACCACAGTCCCTTGTGCTCTTCTCTCCCCAGTTTTGACCCACTGTTCTTCTCCCTGTTGGATCTATGTCACCTTGCAAATTTTGTTGGAAAATGCAATTTTAAAATTATGTAGTAGCATATGTTTTTATGATACTCAAATCAAGCAAGACTAAATGTTATTTTGGAATATAGACATATTATTAAAATATCAAAAGTTAAAGAAAATGAAGTGCAAACAGTCACACATCGGTTCACAATGTTTCCATCAACAGTAGGACCCAGGATGACTGTGGTCCCAGTGGACCCTACCAGAGTCTACTGTGGAGTCTGCTGACCCATCTGGGCATATGTCACCACACTCTGTGATGTTTGCCCAATTATAAAACTGCTAATTCTCAGATCATGTCCCTGTTCACCATCATATGAGTTAGTGAAGAAGCCTAGGAAAGAGAAAATAATATAGCTGTGGAGATGGCACATGAGTAGTTCATCACTGGTCTTTAAAACTAATGAAGGTATTAGATAGACTCTTTTCTCCCTATCCAGTAGACCTCTTGAAATTTGCAAAGTAATATGATGTAGCTCCTTGGCATAACTATGGCCTGATGGGAAAGACTGGATGTACACACAGCACCTGCAACCTTGTCCTGATACTCTGCTGTGAGAACCAGCACAAACAGCTGAAAGAAACTGTTTCCCTCTGTTTTTTTTTTTTTGGTGCTTGACACTTTTTCCTTCTCTTTTACAGCATCTCATCTACTCTGTGAAGTTTTTCATTTCCTATGCAATTCCAGACGTATCGAAAAGCACGAAGAGCAAGATCGAGAGAGAAAAGTACCTAACGCAAAAGTTTCTTCGTGAAAATCACCTCAATGATATAACGAAAAACCTGGGGGGGATCTTTGGGAAAGGGGGAGAAGTAACAGATAACAATACACGACCCAAGTCAGAATAAGGGCTTTCTAAAGTTCTGAGATGCACTTTAAGGAGTTCAGCTCTGTCAAAATAGATTATGAATCACTAATGAGAATGTTTAAGTTAAATCCTTTTGATGAAGAAATCTTGACAATTGCCATTTTCATGTAGATGTTTTTTTCAGTTTCAGCTAGCAATGCAGGAACTAGGAAAACTTAGATCAACAAAGGCATAAAACTAATCACCTGGAAAACATTCAATATCACCTTTTTTGCTATATTGGACTTTTAGTAACACAGAAGAATCTCTCGGGGTGCTTAAAATTCACCCCTTCTGAAACAGAACATTTTTTCCTCCATTTAATTATTTTCATTCCTTTCTGTTTCAAGCACACATTCTCCTTTTTTTTCCAGCAGTATTTTATTTCTTCACCTGACCAGACCTGTTCCAGAGTTCTCTTTCCCTTTCAGTGCCACCATTGAAAAACTGAACACCTTTCTAGCTTGTGATTAAAAATAGCCAACTCAGAATTCATTTTGAACACTACATCCAAGGGCAGATTGACTCAAACATTTCCAGTATTTAGATGTGTTATCACATCCCTGCAGAAACAGAAATCTTGGTGAATAAGAGGAAATAGTTTGTAACCACTCACGCCTGCCTTTCCATCTCAAAGAAATACTCTTAACGGACTGGAATAGACACTGAGTTTCTGAAGCTTACTTGTACTAATCCACGGTGACGCCTTTTATCTTCCAGGATCTCTTCTAGACTATTCTGTGCCTACTCAGTATTGACTGCTTTGCAGCTCTTCAGGGAATAAAAGTGACAGAAATGGGGAAAGGGACACATTCAACTAGAACTGTAACTCATGTTAATCAGGTTTATTAACTTACCTCTTTTAAGAATGCTAGGAAAAAATGAAATCGAGTGATTAAAATCGCATTGTTATCGATTGAATGGTCTGGAAAAGAGAAGCCCATCAGTCCCACCAGTTGCCTTTATTCACTGGATACGGAGTTTCAGTATCACACAGGTCACGGCACCACCGTGGATGCCTCACCATGCAGCCTCCGTGACATGACTGTGTTGAGGACGGCAGGCGCCCGACTCGGAGCTGCTCTGTGTCCCCTGAGAGTGGAGTGTCTTGTCGGCTTGATCAGCATACCTAAGCACTTGCCACAGTAAATGGGGCTCCTTGCTCCCCACCACTGCATATAATTGCATATTTGTACCAGGGGGCCAGTGAGGGGAAGGAGGGGTGAAGTCAGGAATGTACCCAGATTATTCCCAATCAAGAAAAGAGGCTCTAGATTTGATTTGCGCATCTAACCTCTGCTAAAACCAATCAGGTGATTAAGGATAAGAAAAGAGCCCTGTCTGCTCCCAAACCTGCCTTCAGCTGCAAGTTACTTCCTGCTGCAACCCTGCCCACCCCCACCCCACACCCCCACCATGTACTTCTTGCCTTGATTTGCTCAGTTTAGCAGTCTCTACTGCACTTTGCTGTCTTGTAGGCACCTGGTGGGCTCTGAAGAAGACATGGGGCCTGCACCTTCCTCCCCTGACGGTCACAAGGCAGTACTGGGTGTAGGAAGAAGAGCCTGGCACTGGGCTTCTGCCAGATGGGCCACCACCCACAGGATGCTGCTAAATGCACAGGTGCCACAGGAGCGAAGCCTCTCGGGACCCCAAGAGCGGAGGAACACTAAATGTGTTTCAGGGCGCAGACGCAGAGGCTTGTATCAATATAGCAGAGTGGCTGAGCTCCAGGCATGAGATGCCTGCTGTGAATGTTAAATAAACAAGTGAACAATGAAAAGTGTGCAGGTCCATCCAGGCAGCATTCCAGACTGCGGAATCGTCCCAGGGGCTCAAGGACTGCATTCACCAACTCACAAGCCCAACTCGCAGGCCTCCTGGCAACCTGGCCACACAGCGAGGGGGAAATGAATGTTTTCCTGGTGCGTCCCCACAGCCTAGTGGTGTCCCCACTGTGCTTTCCCTGCTGCTACAAGAAGTGGGGTCACCTGTCCTATTACCTCTGTTCGTTTCTGAAGTGTGTGACTATCTCCTAGTATTGGGTTCTGCAGTTACTCACTGTTTATGGAAACAGAAAAGGAAATGTTTTGCCTTATCTTATGTATGTACAATAGAACTGAAAAGCTGTGTGCATTTATGTTTTCTTAAATCATCTTTCATACATCGTCTTCATCATTTAAGATGTGCTTCTGTGGACAGGAGGGAAAAACACCTCAACTTTTTTAAAGGCAGAAGTGTGATGTACAGCACGGCCGGTGTCCGTGACAGCTCAGTCGTAGAGGGCGTCCGTGACACCAGCCATGTTAATGCAAGTCTGGTGCCGACTTGTCGGAGTCTGCCAGCCATCTGGCCGGGTCTCTAAGTGTGAGGAGAGGCCTCACCGGGGAGAATGATGGTGTGTTCTTTTACTTGTGAAGAGACAATCTGGCCCCAGACCTGTCCAGTGTTAACCACTAGAGAAATGTCAGTTTTATATCATTTTATAATGCCTGTGAATTTAAATGAATTGAAGCATCAGACTAAAATTCTCAGGGGATTTTTTTCCTTATAGCCTCCAGTCTTTTAGATATGGTATTAGCAAACCATCCGTTTTGAAAATGAAAAAGGCCATCTGAGAAACTCACCACAAACTTCCCTTTTAATTGCACCTTGAATTTCAGAAAACATTACTTCACAGTGGGTTGGGTGGACGTGCTGTGTCGAAACACTCCTTGTATCATCTTCTCATGTTCCTATGTTAAGATGTTTGAAAAGTTAAAAGTGTATAAGCAGCTTAACTAAAGTAGAACTGAGTATTTGATGCTTTTCAGACACTGTGGCATAAAATGTAAAGTTTCTAATTGTGAATTTCTGTGCATTTTAATATTTTATAATTATGAACATTTTAATAAATTCATTTTTTGAAACAATCCTTTGGTCTGATCTGGATTTAATTAACTTAAGATTTGGAAGAAATAGAGCATATATATCTGCTGTTTAGGGACAGTGTCATCAGAGTGGGTCATAAAGTCTCTTTGGACCTGTTCTGATTCTGAGCTCAGGAAGAAGAAATTATGGGAAGAATAGAAACGATAATCTCATTTTTTAATTAAATTGTTTTTTTCTGGACAGTATATAATTCAGATTTTAATTTATTCCATCCTTGGACTTTTTTTTTTTTTTTTGACCAGCCAAAATCTCATTAGAATTGTAATCAACTAAGATAAATACAGTCCATAACTGGGACAATATTGTCAAGTAATCCTTGACAATATCCTCAGTACCCAAACTAATAATACTTCCCCATCAAAGATTGGAAGGCCAGCAAAGGGTCAACTAGACACTCATGAGCATTATTTGGAGGAATGATGGGGTCTCAGGGCAAGGTGAGGGGCACCCCAGGACCCTCAAACCTGCCCACTATAAAATGGATTCTGCCCATCTACCGCATCAAGACAAAATACACTCTCGTGTGTAAGCCCTTGAATAGAAAAGAACTTGAATACAACTGGTGTGCAACAAAGACAAGACTAATTTCCAAATCCAGCACCCTAAGTTATCCATCCCTCCTGGGTTAATGTCAGCCAAGCAGGGATGACCCCGAGTGGGGCCACTGAGGCCCGAAAGCTTGCCACCATCTAAGGTACCTGCTGGGAACTCAAAGAAAGGGGCAGAAGGGGCCAGGCAAGTCTGGGACAGAAAGAAAAATCCAGATAAAGGCTACCATTGTCAGCCTCTCCAGGGTCTCTCACCCACATCTGTTTCAAGTGTCTTCTTATTTATCCTCCAAGTTCCTGGGACAAGGCCAAGGCCAAGAAGCAAGTGCAACTTCTTCACATGTCTCTGCTCCACATGCCTCCTCCAGGTTCTGGCTCCATCCTGCCGCTTCAGCCTCCTCTACAGATTCTTCCTGCTCAGTTCCACCCTCCCTCAGGTGGGGCAGGGAACTGGAACCTCCCCTTTCCCTGGGCCCCCTGTTACAGAGGGATATTAAGCAATTGCTATTTCTCTCACCCTACCAGATATTATGCCAGATGTTTTATGTAGTTTTCTTAAATGATTATAAAAGAAGTCTATGAAATGCAACATATTAAAAATTCCCACGCTATCTAAAAAGACTGTGCAAGGGAACTAAACTTCTCAGCCCCACCTAGCCTTTACTCCCCAGAGGCCCAGGGATTGTGAACTGGATTTTTTTTATGCTTTAAAAAAAAAAAAAAAACCTAAGAATTTGCTTTTTTTTTTTAAGATTTATTTACTCATACAGAACTGGGGTACAGGCCAGAGATATGGAGGGTGAGAGGATTCACCAGGGACAGAATGGAGAGCAGAACAGGCAGATCGACAAAGCACACTGCTGAGGGGAGCAGCGGGCGGGTCAGGAGAGGTCTGCCACGCCATGTGGGTCACCTCTGGGGCAGGCGGGAATCGAACTCATGCGGAAGCGGCTTTAGCTTCTTACTGCTGTGCTTTAACCTGCTGTGTGGGTTAAATTATGGGAGGGCCCCATAATTTGCTTTTATTTTTAAGTTATAATCCACATATTAAAATTGCAGATCAGAAAAACTACTTAAAATCTAAGTTCAACCCAAATTCTATTTTTTCATAAAAATATTAAGTCTGCTGCAGCAAACTTACCAATTACATTTAAATGGTTGGGTTCTACTTGCAAATTGAGTGAAATGCTTTATAGTACCTGCAATAGCAATTATTAGTCTATCCCATCCTTTGTAAATACTCCAGTTCTCCAATCAACTGTAGCCAAGAGGCCATAAATAGAAGAGCTCACTGCAAACTCTCCTGCCCTGTGCCTCTCGGGAAACCTTTCTCAAAGCCAATGTGGCTGCCTCCTCCTTGCCACACTTCATTCCAAAGGCTGAACATAGAGCGGACAAGGAGCAGAGGAGAGTGTTGACCCACAACCCACAGCCACCAGCCCCGGAAATCCACGCTAAGCTAAATAACCAGAGAGGAAGGCAGCAGAATGTCAGAAGTCCCACCATTTTACCTCTAATAGTGTAACAGGGTGGCCCACTGGGGACAGGGAGGTTGCAGGTTCCCGGCCCCACTCAAGGGAAGGGAGAGACAACTGGGAGAAGGAAGGAAGGAAGGAAGGAGAGCAAGAAGGAGGAGGCCCATGGAGCAGAGAGAAATGGGAAGAAGTGCACTGGTTTCTTGGTCCTGGACTTGTACCTGGGACTTGGGGGACTTGGAAGGAGACATGGAAAGTGACAGAGACGTGGGTGAGTGACTGTGGGAGGCTGACGGTAGCAGCCCTTACACAGGCGTGGGTCATGATTTTGCTCTCTTCCTTCCAGACTCGCCTAACTGTTTCTGCTCCTTTCCTCTAGGAAACATACCATCCCGTGCCTTAGATTTGTGGCAGGATTTGGGGCCTCAGGGGTCCTGCTTTGGGCCAACCCTGGCTGGGCATCTACCCACAAGGGGACAGGTGACTTTGGGTGTTTTCTGGAGAAACTATTTTACCTATTCTTTGTCTTCTCTCTTTTGCACACTAATTTTATTCAAGTTCTTCTCTAGTGTAGGGTTTATGCATGAGAGATTGTTGATGAGGCAAATGGCAGAACCTATTTAGAGTGGGCAAGTTTGGGGGCCCTGGGGTGCCCCTCACCCTACCCTGTAACAGTAACAGGAAGCCAAACAATGACACCTGTGATGATCAGATCCAAAGAGCAAACACCTACCTAGTAACTGGCCACTTCCCTAGTCTGATCCTTATTTCCAACTTAGGGTCAAATAGGGAAAGCCAAAAAGGTACCCCAACCCATCACATAGTGATGGAGCCTGAAGGTGCAAACCTGGAATAGAGGCGTCACATCACCAGAACCTGGAGGTGGGGTAGAGATGATGGACCAACTGTGTGGCCTAGAGATGAGGATACATGGGGACTCTCAGTCATCACAAAGGACTGCTCTAAACACATCACTTAGGTGAGGACCAGAGGTGGGCTATGGAGATGGAGGCCATTACAGAGAACCACCAGTCCTTACAGTCTGAGAGGAGATTACCCAGTCACATCTGAGAGGAGATTAATGTAACAATAGGTAAAAATTTCACAAAGGGGGCCCTCCCTGGTGGCGCAGTGCATTAAAGCACAGCGCTAAGAAGCTAAAGCCACTTCAGCCTGAGTTTGATCCCCACCTCGAGAGGTGACCCGCATGGTG